AGTGTTTAATGGGGACAGAGTTTCAGTTTTGCAAGATGGAAAGGGCTCTGGAGATGGTGGTGATTGCACAACAACAGGAATGTACTCAATGCCACGGAACTGGACATTTAAGGATGATTGATGATAAAAAAAATTTTAAAACCTAAAAATAATCATTATTTTAAAAATAACCTAAAAAAGTATTGAGATGGTACATTTTGTAACGTACATTTTACCACAATAAAAAAATAATATATAAAAGCAAATTAGGAAAAAAAATAACTTTAAAAGCCAAAAAAAGCTTCCCCTCAATTTTGCTTTGAACCTAAAACAGCTCTAAAAGTAGTCGAAAGAAACAAAGAAAGAAGAGAGAGAGAGAAAGAAAGAAGCCAAAGGGCCAATTTAATGACGGGACGGCTGGGACACACCATGCCCACTTTCCACCTCCACGAACAAGGCACTGCTGCCACTGAAACGCCCGAGTCCTGCGACCAGAACCCACAGTGACCGCTGGCCGCCGCTCCCCCTTTAGAGACGGAAAACCCCAAGCGCCCACCCCAAGCGCCCACCGGGGAGGCGGCGAGGGCGACACTGACGGGAGCTCATCCCTGCGAAGAACTGAGCCCCTCGGCTGGCGTGACCCCCACCCCCACTGTGGGCTGAACCCCACTGGTGGCTAAGGACACTCACTCTCGGGGGCCGGAGGGGTTTCTTTGACCTGCTGGCAGTGCGCTGCAGACGCCGACAGGGCCCGGGGGGCTGGCTGGGCCCCCACTTCCATCATCATCTTGGGGCAGTTTTGGGCGTAAAACAGCAGAGACTTGCCCGCCTTCTGCAGAAAGGCCTGCGGCACCCGGGACAGGAAGGGGCAGCGGCGGACCACGGTCTCCATGTCGCGTCCGGGAGGTGCACTGATCCTGCAGGGAGTTGAGTGACACCGACACTTGTTAATAATCAGCGGACACATACCCCGGCAAGGTCACCGGGTTCCGGTGTCGCCTGTAATTCGCGCCAGGGGACTGGGGGGTGCTAAGAAGTCCCACTCGACAATGTCCACGAACAGCACGGATTCGGAACTCACGGCGCAGGGGCGGCCACCTCCACCCAGGTCCCCAAAAGCAGCCCAGGTCCCAGCTCCACCGAGAGGAGCGAACACTGACTCATGCCCAAGGGGTGGGACACGGAGTGGGACCCGGGGCCGAGTGGGGAACAGGTTTGGGAGGTCGGCGCTCCCGGAGGATGCAGAGCACACACCCAGGTGCCAGAGCGAGGCCGGGGAGAAGCCATTGTCACCCACCCGGCAGAAAGGGCTCCTCCCGGTCCCCCAACCCGAGGCGGCACCCATCCCCGGGCCCCGAAGCAGGATGTCCGGGGAACTGGGCG